GACAGTTTGAGGGATGAAAGTTGGACTGAGGATCTCTAAATTTCTGTGCAAGAAACACTTGGACGAACTTCAGAAGAATGTTAGGCTATTTTCTGGCAATTGTGCCTTTATTATGTTCCAGGTGTTAAGACTACAAACCGTTATAAATGGCCTATTTGCGAGATTGCCTTGTAATTTCAATAGGCATATGCTAAATTCTGGGTTTATGATTGCAATTCAATTTTCCCATGGTTTGGTTAGCTAGATGCAGGTAGCCTATAGCCCCTGACAACCTACAGTAGCCTAGGCAAGATGTAAGATTAACGATTTAGCAGCTTGCTTAGTTCAAATTGACATACTATTGGGGATTTATTATTCTCCTAAATTGATGGGATGACTAACTTAGAAAGAATGCATTCTTGACTGGGCTAATGTAGGCTGTGACACCTGGCAGGCTGTGATTGATGCGAAGAGCTGTTTTAGGGGGTAAAATGAGATAAGGATTGTGTCTCCAAATGCTAGACTATACTGGTTCTTTGTGATCTGTGAACCTTCCTTGGACGTAGGAATGATGTCTAAGGGAGCTGGCTCTTCTCACTATGACAGGTTGTTATGAACGTATGCCTGGTAACAGAAGAGGCTGGCAACAGGGGTGCATCAATGGATTGGCTGAGTAAGTTTAAACCACGCTCAAGTCCTTTACTCTAATTGGCCAGCAGAGAAGTGGGAAATTCCCTCTGTCAGAGTATTTGAGTATTGGATCTGAAACAATGTGTTAGTTCTCTGAAGTGCCCTGCGAGGTATTTCAAGGAGCCCGTATATACGAAACATCATATTTACCATTGAAGGTTTTTGCATTAATTAAAATAACTTGTATATCTTAGAAGTCGTGTTGACCTCTTTTGTTCCTGATACCAGATTTGAATTGACGCGACTTTGACAATACTAATTTATTTAACATGAATAGTGAGGCGATTTCGTAGTAATTTCAATCACTGAATCATATATTAATAATATGGATATGAACTGAATAGGCCTATGCTTGTCAACAACAGCCAGTGTTTTTTTTAACCTGTAGCCTAATCTGTTTGACTGTTACCTTAAATCTAATGAATTCTAACAACAGCTGATCGGCAATTACGATAGAACTGTGACCATGATCACAATTGATAACTTCCAATTTCATTAACTAAACATGGCCATTAATAATTGCATAATAACATAAGGCTATATCAACAATAAACTGAAGTTATAGGCTATTTATTAAATCCGTTTGCCAGCTCCAGGTATGCTACACAAGTGGTACAAATTGATTTGCAATGACCCCAGTCATATCGTAATTTCAACATATTTATTTTATCATACAGTAGCCTATATAGGCATATAAATTAATAGGCTATTTAATGGCCAACAGATGTATCACTCTCCACATTCAATGTCAGTTTCATTGTGGACTTTTCCCCATATCAGGAAGGATTACTTTATACTATTCCAGGTATTCCTTAAAGAGGTAGGGTTTCAAGTGTCTCCGGAAGGCCCAGTACATCACTGGGGCCAAGCGTCCTGCCATCCAGGACCTCTATAGCAGGCGGTGTCAGAGGAAGGCCAAGTCTAGGTACAAAAGGCTTCTTAACAGCTTCTGCCCCCAAGCCATAAGACTGCCGAACAGCTAATCAACTCCCCACCGCTCACGCACTCACTCACTCAGTAACAGGCTGCCTCACTGCCTGATAGTCAACAGCAGCAAGTCAAAGTGAAATAATGCCATGGCAGCAGCAGTGCAATTTAGAAGTAGCTCAAAAACCTGCAATCCGCGACCAATACATTTTCACCCGCGACGTCGTTTTCAATGTAGCCCAATTTTGCCAGAAAACAGCGGACATGGCAAACCTGCTCTCCACCAACCTTTCGTCACCAGCACCAGTCACCACCAGAGAGCAGCAGTGCAGCACTTTCTGTAAAATACAGTAATGTATCCGATCCACCAAATCAACGTTCGCAAATCCTAGTCATCAATTATTTGTGGCATCACCTCCTGGAGAGCTACTGCGTTTGCAGGCTTTTGTTCCAACCCCTGCTCTAACACACTTAATTCAGCAACTCAAGGTCCTGATGAGCAGCTTATATGTAAATCCAGATTTGCTAGAGCCCTCAAATTCAAATATTGACCTCAAAACCAGTTCTACTGCTTTGTTTCATGGTTCCACTCTAATTAGGGACTGATTTAGACCTAGGACACCAGGTGGGTGCAATTCATTATCAGGTAGTAGAACAGAAAACCAGCAGGAGTACAGACTTTTTAGGGTAAGATTTGAATACCCCTTTGCTAGAGGCTAGAGCTGAGCTGGAACAAAACCCTGCACACATGCACCCAGTAGTCACCCCTGTTGTACACAGTAGCCTACTGATATAAAGTTCTGGTGCCACATGGCATCAAAGCTCCACATTTTAATATCCCATTTACTCTAGTTTATTTTCACCTGATATAGTCCCGTGTAGCTCAGTTGGTAGAGAATGGTGCTTGCAACGCCAGGGTTGTGGGTTTGATTCCAATGGGTGACCAGTACGAAGAAAGTATGACATTGAATGCACTCACTACTGTAAGTTGCTCTGGATAAGAGCGTCTACCAGACTTTGGTTGTAACATATACAATTAGACTACATCTTCTTTTACTTCTCTACAATACAGTGTGTTCTTCTGGTCACAATAGAGGTTATAGGTTGATGATCTACTGTAAGTTTCCTCTCCTGATACAAGTCACATGCCTCAAACAGACAGGTGTCGTCTTCTTTTTCTTCTTCTTCTTCTATGGTATTATTGCGGTCCGCAAACAAACGAGAAATAAACTTTAAAGCGCCTAGCAACTAGGACCTCAGAAGCCATGTGTGTTGTGGTGATGGGGGCAACACTGAGTGCCAAGGGCGGATCGGAATTCCCACAGAGGAAAGTAAAGGCCTGTGCCCTGTGAACTGAGGAAATTGCAAGTTTCACTGTTTCACAGCAGTCTAGTGTAAAAGAAAGCCACCAGTTTTAGAAGAAACAGTTATTCTGTCTGCCACTTCAAGTACTACAGTTGCAACAGTTTACATTTATGCAACAAATTGGTGCTGTAGTTTAGCATTTCCCATTTTGTCAGTTACATGGTAGTCTAAGACACTTTTCAGTGTTCATATTCTATTACAATATTTTGGTCACCAAAATTGAGTTCAGCACAATCAGTGTTTCTGCAAAGTAAGCCTGTTCCACAGCTTCATCAGTAGGGTCAGTCAGTGCATCTTTTTAAATGTTTTATGCCAGATGGAGTATGATGGCATTTAGTCGCATTAAAATTATAATTACCTCCAGTTTGTCTTCCCACTTCAACCCTATTTGCAATTTCTATGTACCACATCAAATCAACTCCTCCCAACTGTGAAATTCTGCATTGACCTAATATTACGACCACTTCTCTGCAGAGAAGAATGGGAGAAACTCCCCAAATCCAGCATTGCCAAGCTTGTAGCGTCATACCCAAGAAGACTCAAGGCTGTAATCCCTGCCAAAGGTGCTTCAATAAAAGTATTGATTAAAGGGTCTGAATACTTATGTAAATGTGATATTTACGTTTTTTATTTCTAATACATTTGCAAACATTTATAAAAACCTGTTTTTGCTTTGTCATTATGGGGTATTGTGTGTAGATTGATGAGGGGAAAAAAAACAATGTAATCCATTTTAGAATAAGGCTGTAACGTAACAAAATGTGGAAAAAGTCAAGGGGTCTGAATACTTACCGAATGCACTGTATTAGAGAGTTACATGGAATCAGACTGTACACTTATTTCCCTATGACATGCTTGGGCCAGTCAGGAATGAACGCAGTGTAGGAGATGAGAAATTCGATATAAATAGTCTGCTGAATGTAAGCATACTAAATATGCTTTTGTGTATGTTTTGTTTTAAGTGCTTAGTAATGAGGCAGACATAACATTAACAAAACATTTTTTTTTTTAAACCATATAAAGTTTGAGAATTCCAGAGAATACACATTTTCTTGGTTGGAGAAACTCCAAAGCCATAACCTCCATCCTCCATGCATTTTATCAAGTATGGGCCTCCTGTCAATCCACTCCAAGGGGAACAATCAAGGTCTACTGTTTAGGAATGCAGCTGGGAGCATGTATCATTCCTGTAGTATATGGCCCCTGTGTTTGTATCTGTGTGTTGTGTATGTGTGTGTGTGTGTCTAAAGGAGAGGGGTGGTAGGGGGTTGTGCACTGGAGGGAATACTTCCTTACATCCCAGCAGGCAGAGATATAGTCCCTGTTGAACCCCTCTCCCTTCCTCAACACTCCCTGTCACTCAAAAGGCAGCAGCCCACCCAAAGAATCACGCTCACAGAGAAGCCCCTTGGAGCCTACAGTTCATGTTTACAGACCATGACTAATGAATGATGCCTCTGAATGGGAGTTAGAAGACTAAACAGGTTTGACTCATATGCACCCAATTAGCTACAAGGAGATGAGCAATAGAGAACACACCAAATGTCATCAAGCCCCTCAGTGGGAGAGATGACTACCTCATCTCCTTTGGTTTCCTGAACTGACTGAGCATGAATGGGAAACAGTCACAATAACCCTTTTCCTCTGAATCACAGCACTGCTCTTAACTACATTCTTAAGGTGTGAGATGGTTAGAGAAATATAATTATAACTAAATATTCTGATAAAGATCAGTGCTGTGCTAATGAGATCAGTCCATGTGAAGAGTATCCTGCCAGATTCAGTGCATCAGTTTTCAAAAAGGCTGCATTATACGTATTTTTTGTTATTATTTTCAAACAAACTGACACCGGAGGCAAACAGCCTAGCAGAGTTAACTGAAACCAGCCCAGTGTGTGAGGGTAGAGGCCCCTCTCTCTCTGCTCCAGCAGGGACTGACTGGGGAGTAGGAGCAAGAGGCCGCTCTGCCTTTGGGGCTGATTGCCAAATGCCCCCTCCCCCTCCCCCCCAACCACCTCCTCCTTCCCAAAACCAACTCAGCCCGCTGCCATTCCAGCCCCCTCCAGCAGTGTCTGTGCTCCTCCTTCCCTTGGGCCTGAAGTTCCAATCACAGATGCAGGCTGCTCTTTAGCTGCCTTCCCCTCCTCTCTCATTCCCTCTCTCGTTCCCTCCCTCTCTCTGCCTGCGTGGCGCGCGCGGCTCCATTGTGGAGGCTGGTTCTTGTACTCCAAGCGGTCCCAGCAGTTGCTTTCTCCCCTCTCACTCCTCAGGATTGGGGCTGCAGCGTCTCTGGAACTCCTGGCCGTGCTCATGGATCCATTTGTTAGCCACTAGAACACGGCATGGACAACAGAGAGTATGTGTTAGTGGTGTATGTCACACAGTAGTCAAACAAACATAAAATATAATATACAGGTGTGTAAAAAGGAGTCGTTAAATATTCACTGACATTAAAACCCCCTAAAAGTGTAGACAAACATTTTTATATACAGTTGAAGTCGGAAGTTTACATACACTTAGATTGGAGTCATTAAAACTTGTTTTTCAACCACTCCACAAATGTCTTGTTAACAAACTATAGTTTTGGCAAGTCGGTTAGGACATCTACTTTGTGCATGACACAAGTAATTTTTCCAACAATTGTTTACAGACAGATTATTTCACTTATAATTCTCTGTATCACAATTCCAGTGGGTCAGAAATGTACATACACTAAGTTGACTGTGCCTTTAAACAGCTTGGAAAATTCCAGAAAATGATGTCATGGCTTTAGAAGCTTCTGATAGGCTAATTGACATCATTTGAGTCAATTGGAGGTGTACCTGTGGATGTATTTCAAGGCCTACCTTCAAACTCAGTGCCTCTTTGCTTGAAATCATGGGAAAATCAAAAGAAATCAGCCAAGACCTCAGAAAAAAATGGTAGTCCTCCACAAGTCTGGTTCATCCTTGGGAGCAATTTCCAAACACCTGAAGGTACCACGTTCATCTGTACAAACAATAGTACGCAAGTATAAACACCATGGGACCACGCAGCCGTCATACCGCTCAGGAAGGAGACGCGTTCTGTATCCTAGAGATAAACGTACTTTGGTGCAAAAAGTGCAAATCAATCCCAGAACAACAGCAAAGGACCTTGTAAAGATGCCGGAGGAAACAGGTACAAAAGTATCTATATCCACAGTAAAACGAGTCCTATATCGACATAACCTGAAAGGCCGCTCAGCAAGGAAGAAGCCACTGCTCCAAACCGCCATAAAAAGGCCAGACTACGGTTTGCAACTGCACATGGGGACAAAGATCGTACTTTTGGGATAAATGTCCTCTGGTCTGATGAAACAAAAATAGAACTGTTTGGCCATAATGACCATCGTTATGTTTGGAGGAAAAAGAGGGTGGCTTGCAAGCCGAAGAACAACATCCCAACCGTGAAGCACGGGGGTGGCAGCATCATGCTGTGGGGGTGCTTTGCTGCAGGAGGGACTGGTGCACTTCACAAAATAGATGGCATCATGAGGAAGGAAAATTATGTGGATATATTGAAGCAACATCTCAAGACATCAGTCAGGAAGTTAAAGCTTGGTCGCAAAATGGGTCTTCCAAATGGACAATGAACCCAAGCATACTTCCAAAGTTGTGGCAAAATGGTTTAAGGACAACAAAGTCAAGGTATTGGAGTGGCCATCACAAAGCCCTGACCTCAATCCTATAGAAAATGTGGGCAGAACTGGAAAAGCGTGTGCGAGCAAGGAGGCCTACAAACCTGACTCAGTTACACCAGCTCTGTCAGGAGGAATGGGCAAAAATTCACCCAACTTATTGTGCGAAGCTTGTGGAAGGCTACCCGAAACGTTTGACCCAAGTTAAACAATTTAAAGGCAATGCTACCAAATACTAATTGAGTGTATGTAAACTTCTGACCCACTGGGAATGTGATGAAATAAATAAAAGCTAAAATAAATAATTCTCTCTCCTATTATTCTGACATTTCACATTCTTAAAATAAAGTGGTGATCCTAACTGACCTAAGACAGGGAATTTTTACTAGGATTAAATGTCAGGAATTGTGAAAAACTGAGTTTAAATGTATTTGGCTAAGGTATATGTAAATCTCCGACTTCAACTGTATATATAGATCCCTTGTATAGAGCCATCAATAATGGGAAATGGGGCCCTATTTCTTTGTTATAATCTACAAATATATGAACACACAGTAAAAAAAGTATATACTTGCTCCTGTAAATGTCTCTCAGATGCAGCCACTCACAGTAATGACTAATACCCCTCTCTGTGCGGTTCCTTTAGCCTTGTCACTGACTGTGGGATCCAGGATGGAGTTAAATTATGTTGAATGGAGGCGCACATATTTAGCATCCCAGAGCACTGCTCAATGCCTGACCTCCTCTCTATATCGTCCCTAACTCTATCTGTGTAATGCAGTGCAGATGTGGCCCCGGGCTCCTGCTGTGACTTCAGTATGACAGACGGGCTACTGGAATAGACGTAGGGTACTTAGCTTTCCACATCTGACACTGCTCACTGTACCTGTGTGTTTTTCTATAGGAACTATGTGGAGTTCCTGGATGTCCCATTAAAGCCTCTTACCCCATTTGTCCCCAACAAGGACAGGGCAGCCAGCATGCAGAGTGTCCCCATCTCCTTGACCGTTCCTATGGAGGTTCCACCAGAAGAGGGCAGCATTCTGGAACACGAGAGACATTGGAAATGTGTCACTAAAAACATTGGAAAGAAACATTTTAAAATCGTGCTTGGATTTTGTGTGGGCCACTATTGTGCCGGTAATTTGTATGGTCTACTCCTCTACTTGACAATCCTAAACCATTGTTCCTCCATTAACATTTTATTTTGTATACGTGTATGTTAAAATCCCACGTGCATAGCTATGCTACAAGTACAACATCTTTGACATGGATATGGAGGAAAGGGTGCCCAGTGAGAGAGATTTTTTCCAACACTTGAGGCAGGAAGTGAAACCTCAATAAAATCCAGGTTGAGAGGTTAAAACCTGGTGAGGCCCTGTGTCTTTTCAACAGCAGCTCATTTATTAAACCAAACACTACACTGTGGCTGCATCCCAAATGGCATCGGATTCCCTATATAATTTACTGCTTTTGACAAGGGCCCTGGTCAAAAGTAGTACAATATAAAGGGAATTGGGTGCCATTTGGGACACAGCCTATGGCTCCTCTTTACTCAACAGGCCTACAGTCATAAGAACAGTACTCCTCAAAACATCTTAAGAAATGATGTGACCTTTCTGAGGAAGGAATCTCTTATTATTCTTGATGCCATTTTAACAGCTGCACAGAGTGAAGGCTTATGAGCGTACGTGTTCTGGCTTGAAGCAATTTCGATGGGTAAACAGAAGAAGATTAAGGCAATGCCGCAAATAGCACCCTATTTCCTATATAGTGCACTCCTTTTGTCAAACAGTCTGGTAAAAATTAGAGCACTATGTAGGGAATAGGGTGCCATTTGTGACACAGACCAAGTTTAGCCAGCAGCTGATGTGTGCAGTGCATTTACCTCCACAACAGGAACGCTGAAATTAGCATGGATGAAGGCTGTGGACCCACCTGCGTCCACAGAGCTGAGCTGTGGAGGATGACAACATTCTCACTGAGTTGTGTCTAGTCTAGCCACTGTGCACACATGTCATAAAAAAGCCATCCGTGCCGGAATACAGAGTGTGGAGTTTGTCCAAATCTCACAAGCAGACATTCTTTTCCATACCGCCTTAACTGGAAGTTTGACATCTCATCGCAATTTCAATAAGAAAATACTGAATTCTGATGCTGATTGATGCAATCTAGCATACAGTATCTCCAAAGATGCCTTTACTGTATATCCACAAATGAGACAAGCATGCACATACAGTGGGGAAAAAAAAGTATTTAGTCAGCCACCAATTGTGCAAGTTCTCCCACTTAAAAAGATGAGAGGCCTGTAATTTTCATCATAGGTACACGTCAACTATGACAGACAAAATGAGAAAAAAAAATCCAGAAAATCACATTGTAGGATTTTTAATGAATTTATTTGCAAATTATGGTGGAAAATAAGTATTTGGTCAATAACAAAAGTTTCTCAATACTTTGTTATATACCCTTTGTTGGCAATGACACAGGTCAAACGTTTTCTGTAAGTCTTTACACACTGTTGCTGGTATTTTGGCCCATTCCTCCATGCAGATCTCCTCTAGAGCAGTGATGTTTTGGGGCTGTCGCTGGGCAACACAGACTTTCAACTCCCTCCAAAGATTTTCTATGGGGTTGAGATCTGGAGACTGGCTAGGCCACTCCAGGACCTTGAAATGCTTCTTACGAAGCCACTCCTTCGTTGCCCGGGCGGTGTGTTTGGGATCATTGTCATGCTGAAAGACCCAGCCACGTTTCAACTTCAATGCCCTTGCTGATGGAAGGAGGATGGCCCCATTCATTCTTTCCTTTACATGGATCGGTCGTCCTGGTCCCTTTGCAGAAAAACAGCCCCAAAGCATGATGTTTCCACCCCCATGCTTCAGAGTAGGTATGGTGTTCTTTGGATGCAACTCAGCATTCTTTGTCCTCCAAACACGACGAGTTGAGTTTTTACCAAAAAAATATATTTTGGTTTCATCTGACCATATGACATTCTCCCATTCCTCTTCTGGATCATCCAAATGCACTCTAGCAAACTTCAGACGGGCCTGGACATGTACTGGCTTAAGCAGGGGGACACGTCTGGCATTGCAGGATTTGAGTCCCTGGCGGCGTAGTGTGTTACTGATGGTAGGCTTTGCTACTTTGGTCCCAGCTCTCTGCAGGTCATTCACTAGGTCCCCCCGTGTGGTTCTGGGATTTTTTCTCACCGCTCTTGTGATCATTTTGACCCCACGGGGTGAGATCTTGCATGGAGCCCCAGATCGAGGGAGATTATCAGTGGTCTTGTATGTCTTCCATTTCCTAATAATTGCTCCCACAGTTGATTTCTTCAAACCAAGCTGCTTACCTATTGCAGATTCAGTCTTCCCAGCCTGGTGCAGGTCTACAATTTTGTTTATGGTGTCCTTTGACAGCTCTTTGGTCTTGGCCATAGTGGAGTTTGGAGTTTGACTGTTTGAGGTTGTGAACAGGTGTCTTTTATACTGATAACAAGTTCAAACAGGTGCCATTAATACAGGTAACGAGTGGAGGACAGAGGAGCCTCTTAAAGAAGAAGTTACAGGTCTGTGAGAGCCAGAAATCTTGCTTGTTTGTAGGTGACCAAATACTTATTTTCCACCATAATTTGCAAATAAATTCATTAAAAATCCTACAATGTGATTTTCTGGAAAAAATATTCTCAATTTGTCTGTCATAGTTGACGTGTACCTATGATGAAAATTACAGGCATCTCTCATCTTTTTAAGTGGGAAGACTTGCACAATTGGTGGCTGACTAAAAATTTTTTTCCCCCACTGTATAATAGGATAAAACAAAACCAATTATTAACTTACGTATATCATGAAGGTTGCCACTCGATTCCCAGTGTTGAGCCTAAAAAGGGGGCTTGATGCTGACTGGTTACATGTAGGAAATAGTCATCATAAATACACTACCAGTCAAAAGTTTGGACACACCTATTCATTCAAGCGTTTTTTTTTATTTTTACAAATTTTTACATTGTAGAATAATAGTGAAGACATCAAAACTATGAAATAACACATATGGAATCATGTAGTAACCAAAAAAGTGATAAACAAATCAAAATATATTTTATATTTGAGATTCTTCAAATAGCCACCCTTTGCCTTGATGACAGCTTTGCACACTTGGCATTCTCTCAACCAGCTTCATGAGGTAGTCACCTGGAATGCATTTCAATTAACAGGTGTGACTTCTTAAAAGTTAATTTGTGGAATCTCTTTCCTTCTTAATGCATTTGAGCCAATCAGTTGTGTTGTGACAAGGTAGGGGTGGTATACAGAAGATTTGGTAAAAGACCAAGTCCATATTATGGCAAGAACAGCTCAAATAAGCAAAGAGAAACCACAGTCCATCATTACTTTAAGACATGAAGGTCAGTCAATACGGAAAATTAAAAGACTTTGAACGTTTCTTCAAGCGCAGTTGCAAAAACCATCAAGCGCTATGATGAAAGTGGCTCTCATGAGGACCACCACAGGAATGGAAGACCCAGAGTTACCTCTGCTGCAGAGGATAAGTTCATTAGAGTTACCAGCCTCAGAAATTGCAGTCCAAATAAATGCTTCACAGAGTTCAAGTCACAAACACATCTCAACATCAACTGTTCAGAGGAGACTGTGTGAATCAGGCCTTCATGGTCGAATCGCTGCAAAGAAAGCACTACTAAAGGACACCAATAAGAAGAAGAGACCTGCTTTGGCCAAGAAACACGAGCAATGGACATTAGACAGGTGGAAAGTTGTCCTTAGGTCTGGAGTCCAAATTTGAGATTTTTGGTTCCAACCGCCGTGTCTTTGTGAGACGTGGTGTGGGTGAACGGATGATCTCTGCATGTGTAGTTCCCACTGTAAAGCATGGAGGAGGAGGTGTTATGGTGTGGGGGTGCTTTGTTGGTGACACGGTCTGTGATTTATTTAGAATTCAAGGCACACTTGACCAGCATGGCTACCACAGCATTCTGCAGCGATACACCATCCCATCTGGTTTGGGCTTAGTGGGACTATCATTTGTTTTTCAACAGAACAATGACCCAACACACCTCCAGGCTGTGTAAGGGCTATTCTACCAGGAAGGAGAGTGATAAAGTGCTGCATCAGATGACCTGGCCTCCACAATCCCACGACCTCAACCCAATTGAGATGGTTTGGGATGAGTCGGACGGCAGAGTGAAGGAAAAGCAGCCAACAAGTGCTCAGCATATGTGGGAACTCCTTCGAGACTGTTGAAAAGCATTCCAGGTGAAGCTGGTTGAGAGAATGCCAAGAGTGTGAAAAGCTGTCATCAAGGCAAAGGGTGGCTATTTGAAGAATCTCAAATATAAAATATATTTTGATTTGTTTAACACTTTTCTGGTTACTACATGATTCCACATGTGTTATTTCATAGTTTTGATGTCTTCACTATTATTATACAATGTAGAAAATAGTAAAAATAAAGAAAAACCCTTGAATGAGTAGGTGTGTCCAAACTTTTGACTGGTACTGTATATAATGTCCTTACGTTGCCGCCGAAGACCATGGCTACTTCTCAAATGGCACCCTATTCCCCTGTATAGAGCATTACTTTCGATCAGAGCACTATGGGCCCTGGTCAACAGTAGTGTACTAGGGCAGTGGTTCCCAAACGGTGGGGAGGCCCGGCAGGGGGTGCGGGGAGCGCGGGTCCCCCTCCCCAAAATAAGTTGTAATAGTAGAATGCACAACGTGCAATATCGAAATTGGGTAGTGCATTATCAGTTTTCCTCTTGCCATGTCAGTCATTGCAGACCTTAGAGAGCTATTTATAACTTGTCAGAAAAGTCCATATCAACTAGCCCATATCAACTAACGTTTTTTAGCTAGGTTTTTTAGCCTATAGATTTTGGAGTAATGTTCGAGTCACTCAAATATCACATGACTACACATTAGACATGGCAAAATGTATAGAATTGCAAGACAATGAGCTTTAAAACTGCAAAATTTTCTCTGCACCCATGACAAAATGTGTAGAATTTCAGGAAATAAGCATTAAACCTACAAAATGTTCACTCAACACTAACAGACCATCACTCAACACTAACACATGAAATGAGGGTACACTATTGCATCAAGTGTTTATTAATGTAGTAAATGTAGGGTTTATTCAAGATCTACTGTTCTAAAGATAGAGAAACCCACTCACCGTTGCATGGTCAAAATGAGGTTCATAGTGTCCTCCAATCCCATAGTTCACCACTTGGAGGTACTCTGCATACGGAGGCTGCACATTGAGACCTGTGAGCAAGGTGATTCTCTGGTCCAGCCTCCCAATGATAGGGTGGGCTGTCTCCTTTAGCCATGCACTGAAAAACAAACCACAAACTCTCATAATACAGATAATGTTACTGTCTTGGTTTGAGTTCGACATGATGCTATGTACTCATTGTCTTTTGACAAGTGACGTCATTCCTACATGATGTGCAGTCCTCAACCGATCAGTGCAGATGGACTCGTCGTCCTACCTGACGTAAGACAATGATGTACAATTCCTCTTCCACTGATACTGTAGATTCCAGAGGTGTTCAGCTACTTTCCATTCAAAGGTTACAGTTTATCCCACAGTTAACTATTACATGTTATAGCTAATAAGCCAGAAAATCATGTGTGCACCATAACATTTGCCCAAGCATTTTATAGTGTTATACAGTATATTCACTGGTTGCTGTGAGGGTGCATTGTTCTGCTGGTGCTTTTATTACTGCTTTAAGTGTTATGAGAAGGAACTGTAAACTATACATTTAATAGTGACATCTCTCTGATAGTAGTACCTCTTGCTGATGCGATACTCTGCAGTAGCCTGTTCCTCTCCAGATGCCACCACAGATCTCCTTAACTTATGGCACAAGAAGAAAGAAAACTGTCAATACTCAATGATTTTATACAGCATTAACTTTTTAGGATCAAATTGCAAGGCTCTGTCTGACAAGAGAAACATGAATGATGTGAGGATAGAGAAGAGAACATCCAAAAGAGCACAGTAAATAACATACAAAAAAGAACAACGTTAAAACTCAACAACTGGCAACCACAGTAATTTTCCAATGAAGCCGTGTCTGATGGAAATACTTGACTGGCATTTCTATCTACACCCTCTCTAAATACTTTGGACTAGACAGCTAATACTAAACCCTTGGAGCCAAGCATGAACACATGAATACCATGCTCAGGCAATGACGTATGTGTCTATGTGCTCAGGGCAAGGAGTGCTGCATATGCTCCAGGCTCCAAATGACTAATACTCCAGATGTGAGTCCCAAATGGAACCCTATTCCCTATATAGTGTGCTACTTTTGTAGTGCACTATATAAGGAATAAGGTGCAATTTGAGACACAGCCCAGGCCTGGTTTTAATCAACCCACCAGAGCGCCATGAAATGTTGACATAATGGTGAAATAAGTGGAGCGATTTCCATTTGAAGAAGGGGTGGAAAACCTGTTGAACAGTGCCAAAACATCACACAATCTAGGAGATAATTTGGGTTACAGCATCTAGCCAGAAAAACAGTCAGCCAGTGGAGGCTGGTGGGAGGAGTTATAGGAGGACGGTCTCATTGTAATGGCTGAAATTGAATAAATGGCGCGAAGTCAATTCCAGTCATTACAATGAGCCCATCAGTACAAAGCAAAGGCAATTCACTCAGACGTTCTTTTTTCAAACCAGCTTGATGGACATATTTTAGCTATTTTTGGCATGCATTATCAGATTGTAAATATTTTTTTATATTGTAAATATTGCAACCAGGTCACAGAACAGAGACTGAGCCTTTCTAAAGCCCTTGATATATGAAATATTTGAGATCACAAACATGCAAGTATAGAAAGATTAATATATGATGAAAATCATTGCCTGCCAATGTAATCTAAGCTGTAACTGTTACTCGGGTGAAAAACTAGCACCTCAGTGGCAGTCTAAGCGGCCAGACCACAGGGAAAAAAAGATAGCTGATTGGAAATTTCCTAAAATAACCGTTATCCCAGCAGAGCCTAAATGAATAGTGTTCTGTGTGTAGTCATTCTCTTGCACAATCTTTACTGGAGTCATAAAATACAGAAAATAGGCAGTTGACATGTAACACATTTAATAATCCTTCAGATGTGCAAAAACTAATCATGACACAGGGGGGTCTCTTCTATCAGTTATGTTATTTAAAATACACATCATTTTCAATGGACTTGGAATGTGAATGTGGTAATCAGAATCAATGTAATGACAATGACAATGGAATCTGGGGCTATATGTATCAAGCGTCTCAGAGTTGGATGGCTGATTTAGGATCAGTTTAGCCTTTTAGATCATAATGAATAAGACTGGACAGGGAGGACTGGATCCTAGATCAGCACTTCTTATCCGAGACGCTTGATACATACTTCCCGATAGGCCTTTTCTGCGTAAAAGGGGTGACACCATGGCAGTAGATAGACACTCACCCCTGTCTGGGCGAGGTCCCTGATGCTCTCTGCCTCTGAGTCAGTGATGAAGCTGTGGTAGAGGACCACGTACGGCTGCAGGCTCAGCACCTCACGTCTGATTGGCTGCAGTTGCAGCCCAGGACTGTCATTGTTAAAATAGTCACAGAACAGCCGGGGGTTTTCATAATGCGTTGGCTGTGAGGAGAGAAGGGCATCTGAAGTCCATTACTGGAGCCAAAACATGGAAAGAAAGCAGCATTATTTTATTTTCATCCTCAGAACTTTACAAATATTTTCTCTCTCTGTGAGCTCCAGACTGTAGCCAAATCTCTGTTTTCCACATATGGTGGTTCATATGGTTTCATACATTTAAAAAGGACAGTATGATTTCAGTTGCTGTTTGGAGCATTTCTAAAAGCAAATGTTAGTTTGTTGGTGTCCACATCACCAACAAACTAACATGGTCCAAGCACACCAAGACAGTCGTGAAGAGGGCACGACAAAACCTATTCCCCCAAAGGAGACTGAAAAGATTTGGCATGGGTCCTCAGATCCTCAAAAGGTTCTACAGCTGCACCATCAGGAGCATCCTGACTGGTTGCAGCACCGCCTGGTATGGCAACTGCTCGGCTTCCGACCGCAAGGCAATACAGAGAGTAGGGCGTACGGCCCAGTACATCACTGGGGCCAAACTTCCTGCCATCCAGGACCTCTATACCAGGCGGTGTCAGAGGAAGGCCCTAAAAATTGTCAAAGACTCCAGCCACCCTAGTCATACTGTTCTCTCTGCTACCGCACGGCAAGCGGTACCGGAACACCAAGTCTAGGTCCAAAAGGCTTCTAAACACCTTCTATCCCCAAGCCATAAGACTCCTGAACATCTAATCAAATGGCTACCCAGATTTGCATTGCTCCCCACCCCCCTCCCCCTCCCCCTCCCTCTTTTACACTGCTGCTACTCTCTGTATATTTTCTATGCATAGTCACTTTAATAACTCTACCTACATGTACATATTACCTCAATCACCTCGACTAACCGGTGCCCCCGCACATTGACTCAGTACCGGTACCCCCTGTATATAGCCTCGCTACTGTTATTTTTACTGCTGCTCTTTAATTATTTGTTACTTTTATTTCATATTATTTAACATATTATTTTTGTGTGATTTTTTTGGTATTCTTTCTTAAAACTGCATTGTTGGTTAAGGGCTTGTAAGTAAGCATTTCACTGTAAGGTCTACACCTGTTGTATTCGGCGCATGTGACAAATCAAATTTGATTTGATCACTCAAATGCTACAGCATATAGCCGGCTGGGTGGATGAGATTATAATATCATAGATGAGTATACCTGACTGCCCTGTGTCCGACACAGTCTCTCGTAGGTGTTCCTTGTCCGTAGATAGGTGGTGTTGGGCCTCTTCAACCCAGTGTTAGCGCTCAGTAATGGTGGACTGTCAACAAGCAGTCGCTCATACTTCTCTACATTCTTCAAAACTCTCCCGTTCATGGGATCTTCAGGAAGGGAATCATGTAAATACCATCAATATGATACCATGAGTTTGGAGAAACAAATCACAGTGCCTAGTAGGTAAAATACAAACAAGCGAGCAGTACAGATGTTTTCCTGGTCAATGTATGTACTTTTATTAAAAGAGGCCTGCATTGAAAGGTCCAGGTCCACGTCTGCATTATGAACAGTAAGTATACAGTACTTCAGGGTTCAGCTACCGTATGGGGAAATAGGCTGATATACAAAGCAGATGGTGACCAGGCTGCCTCTATATACTGTGGGACAGTAGTGGGATGTTTTTTTATGCAGTGGGGCAGTCCCACTCCTTTCAGAATGTTATGTTTATTGGACAGGATAAAGAGAAAGGAAGGAGTAGTGGGTCGGAGTATAACCCATGCTCGCAACGGAACATAGTATGTGTGATCCAGAGGCAGCAGTTTAGACCGCTGGACCACCCCAGGCCACAGTATAGTGGGATGTTTTAACTGAACAGGCTTACCATGGTTCAACAACTCCTGAGAGAGACTCAGTGCATAGGAGATGTTTCCTGTCTGAAACAAAACAAAAAAGTAAAAGTTGGTCAACAAATGCTAAAATAATCACATCTTCTCTCTACAAATACTATTTTCAACCAGTAGGTCTATCTATTTTGAAAATAATCATACTCAAAATCAGAATAACTTGTATTTCTATGTGCAAAATAGACACACCTTGAAGTGAGAGAAGGCCAGGTGATCCAGAGCATCTTCAAGAGTTCCCTCATTCTCTGGGCTCCATTCCCCCCCTGCCCCTCGGAAAAGACGCACTGACTCCTCCAGCCACTGCACTGAGTGGTAGTAGTCCTCCAGCTCATAGGCAACCTACAATACAACACCACAGGATGTTAGCATTAGAAAACAACAGAAAGCTTTTATGACGACAAATTGAGACATTATTTTCCTGAAAAGTCATACACCCATGCTCAAAATATATTTTGGAAGGAAAGAGTAAAAACCTTTTTAGCATTGTAAATATCATTCTCCCACATCTAGAGCTGAAGAGAAGAGAGAGCTTTATAAAGTAAATGTAGCACTATAATAATAATAATAATAATAATAATAATATGCCATTTAGCAGACGCTTTTATCCAAAGCGACTTACAGTCATGATTGTTGATGGTGGCTGAGGCTTTGTACGGGCCCCGGAAATGTGAGAAATAAAGCTAATCCTTAGCTAACCCTGCTGGTTTTAACGACTAGGTTTTAGCCACCATAAAAGTGCAGTTGTAGAACTGTTACTGCATGTAACACCCCAAACAGAGACTGGTGTTAACACAAGTAAAGGCAAAGGCCATTACTCCACATTCTTAGACTTCCCTAAACAGAGATTATGTATTTTCCATACTGTCTCTCCCACACAGTGCTCCTTGTGCACTGCCACTGTACATAAACAGTAGGATCCATTGTGGAGTGATTCATCATGAGGAAGACTTCGTCCGTCTTCCAAATGTCACCCTATTCCCTTTATAGTGCACTACTTTTGACCAGGACCCATAGGGATCTGGTCAAATGTAGTGCAGTAAATAGGGAATAGGCTGCCATAGGGGAATAGGCTGCCATTTGGGATGCACATCATGCACCCTTTTTCAAATTTGTCTGAGTGAATACATCACCCTAAGGTGATACCATGATATGAATTCCCTTGACAGACAGGGAGAGGACTTTACTCCCTCTAACCACAGAGTATGACAAAACTATGTTTTATGGTCTTCTGGTATGGGATGCTAATCAGGGAAGCCAGATCTCACAGCATAATCTGCCCAGCAGCCTAACACTCCTCCGGTTACATGCCCCCCTCTTCTCCATGACTCCATTAGCACATCTCCAGTTGACAGTTTAGAGAGTGCAATGTAAGCAGGGATTCCCTTTTGGTTGCCCCTTCCTCCCCCATAGTGAGCTGAGTAAAATGAAGCCATAAAGGCTGCATCCCTTTTCTCCACCCTTTTCCAGAAGTGTGCACTTGCACAATCCCCATCATGGATTTAAAAACATGGTATAGGATTAACTTTAATGTCCACAGGGGGGAAATTGTCTTGGACACACAGTGTACTGCTGTATACAAAAGACACTGTACATTACACACTCAACACAATACATGCATTGCACATTACCCTTATCATACACACTTCTCATATAGCCACATCCTGTACATAATACATATTGTACATTCCCTTATTCAGTCAGTGGCGTACTATTGACGTTCAGGTATGATGGACATGGGAATGAAGGAGTGCTTATGCCTGTTCAGTTTACGCGTGGGATGTGTGTAACCATTGGCTGGAGGGAGCTTCCATCATTGTTAGATCCATGCGAGATAGAGTGCAAGTGCACACTTCAGGAGAAGAGTGGAGAATCTGGTGCAGCCAATGATTAAATGGGTGATTTATTGGTGGCTTACCTTCCCAACCAGGAAGCAGTCATCCCCAGAAAGAGAAACAGATACTGTGGGACTGTAGATGTCAATGGGGTTGCCGTTAGAGATCCTCTGGAAGTGACCTCTCACAAGTCCCCCCACTTGAAGGGCATACACATCCTGCAGTCTCATCAGCCCCTTGGCAGCTCCCTGAAGGTCCTCCAGTTTTGGCAAGCTGCCCTCCTCCTCCACCTCCTCATAACCAGACCTGAAGGCTGAAACACAACACGGGGGGGGGGGGGGGGGGGGGGGGGGGGGAGTGGGGGGTGAGGTGACGACAGGACACAAGAAGCGGGGGATGGACCTGTGAAACTTATGTCCCCCAACTTATGTCGTACATTTTTCTTGAAACACAGAGGCTTGCTTATGTCAGTTGTAAGGACCAGATGTGTTTAAAGAGAGTCGTAAAGGGAAACAACCTTGGGTGTTCTCTTGTGCTTCATCACTGTAGATCAGATTCAGCCACTCGGACTGCAAGCGCTTGATAAGAGTGAACGCCACCAAGGGGTTTGCTATAGCAGCGGATGGTCCATTGTACACCTCACTGTGCAAGTCTGACACCTTTGCATAAAACCTGCAGAAAGATTCTAAAAGTGTTAAAGGTTTAGAGAGAATACATCAAGGTGATACCATGATAGATGGACAGGGGGGAGACAGCCATGCAATGATATATGCATAAGGTTTTCCATGGAAATCAAACTGCCTCCTAAATCAGTATAGAATGCATCTTGAGTTTATAATAGGTTTTAGAAGGAACTTAACATTAGTAATTAGTCATTATAATGTTAAGTTCCTTCTAAAGTTACCTAAAGGATGGAGGCGATTCATCGAGGCATATGTTCAGCAAGGAATACAAAGGCCTAAGTAAGAAGATAATAGTAGCCTATCATGAAATTATATGGAACAACATACAATAAAGGACACATAGCCCAAACATATGGCTTACTAATTCTTAGACACAATGATTTAGCTTAATTTGTTCTCTCTCTTTCTAAAACCACCCACTCTAAAGCCTTAATGATTAAGCCTACAATATAAATGAGTGATAGGCTATCAAGCCCACGTGCATCATGACAATGTTCCCTGTCTGTTACTCACCTTTTGATGTCTTCAAGTCTCTCCGATTCGTGTTCGATGTAAGTTTCTAAATGATCAATAAGTTGTCTTTCAACATTTATGGCTTGTTTGACGTTCAATAATGACGTATACATCTCACCAAAAGATAATGGAATCAAAATCATATTGATTATAACACAGACTGAGTAAATGGATTTCACATAATATTGCATTTTGTTCGCGTATGATGCCCTCGATGACGTTTAAAATTAGCCTATGCTTGCGCTGGATTTTTTGTCATATCTAATCTCTATCAATGGTTCTTGCTTTAAATGTATTAAATGTAGCGCAGTTTCTTGTTTGAAACCACTGAATCCTGCCCTACAGGAAAGCTTTGCTCGGTCCTGCCGTTCTGTGTGAATCTCCGCAATGTTCTTTCTCAACAGTGCACGCCGCTCACACCTGAGACGTCAGTTTTCACCACTTCACATCATCTGTCATCAGGAATGGTTCAACTATAACAATCTCATATATGAAGTTGCGTGATTAATGAACAATCGTATTACATTAGGTATTTTAGGATTTGGATATGCTCAAAATGTATTGCAACAGTTTCCCTTTGGAATTGGCATGCGTAAATGTGCCCAGTCCCTGCATTCCACTCTACATATATTAGTCTCATTAAATGGTTTTATAATAACTCTGAATATCAAATAATCTGACCCTTACTGCTTTAGATATCAATGTTCTTATTTCGCCAAAGAAACTGAACGTCTTCCTATGGGCGCACATTCATCCAGTGCAGTGACCCAAGTTGCACCACTTGATACATTTGGAATTATAGTGACATCTAGCGTACGAGTTTACGGTTTCTCAAAGTATTTTCAAATTGTGAAGCAATCTTCTCTATTCCAAAGCAAGCCTCCGTGTTTCAAGAAAAATGTACCGTTTAATTAGATAGCAACCAATAAATATACGTTTTTGAAAGAGACACCTTTATAATGGCATAATGAATGTCATCCAGCCAGGGTTTTACTATTTTAATATGTTTTAATTGACTAACATATACAGGCTACTAGTCTGTACAGATTCAAATAAAAACATTAATTTGACCAGTGGTTCCAATTCAGGACCAGTTCATTTGACCCTGGGCTTGGTGGCCGGGGCTCTGGGGCTGATCCTGTGTCTGTTTGAGCAGCACAGGACAGCTCCCCTCATGTAGCCCCTCAGGCTCTCATCTCTCAGGCCATAGATGAGCGGGCTGAGGAAGCGCGGCAGTAGGATGAAGCAGAAGTTAATTTTTATTTTATTTATTTTACCTTTATTTAACTAGGCAAGTCAGTTAAGAACAAATTCTTATTTACAATGACGGCCTACACCGGCCAAACCCGGTAGTTGAAGGAGATGTCCTCGGCCAGCCATCCAGCGTGCATACTGATAAGGCTCTCTGTGACAGGGTGGGAGAAGGCGATCATGCACAGCAGCAGCTGAAAGCTGTGGAGCAGCACTGTGTGCATGGCCTTGCCCACCGACGCCCGGTCCTGATGCATCTTCCTGGTCTCCAGCATGATCCTCGTGTAGGTGAACATGATGATGGCCGCCAACACAGCGAAGAACAGCCCGTTGAGCGACACCTTGAACAGCATCTGGACGGGGGATGAGTTGAGGACCAGGGTTTTGCAGAGCACTGGGGTGGAGAGGACATTCACGCCAGGCTGAGGTTCTCCCAGAGAGAAGTCCACAAGGGGCGGGATGCAGCTGACCAGCCACAGGCTCAGGATAATGATCTAGATGCGGTCAGCGCGCCAGGCGGCCGGGCGCTGCAGAGGGTAGAAGATGGCCACGTAGCGCTCCAGGGACATAGCTGCCAGGATCAGAGGGGTGTTCTGGAAGGTGGAGGTGGAGAAGAAGAGTAGAGGGGCACAGTATACGATGGAGAACTTCACGTTGCCCACAATGAAGAGGAAGAGGAGGACAGAGGAGAGGAGCTGCAGAGTGTCGTTGATCAGCATGTACAGTACCAGTCAAAAGTTTGGACACACCTACTCATTCCAGAGTTTTTCTTTATTTTTACTATTGTCTACATTGTAGAATAATAGTGAAGACATCAAAACTATGAAATAACACATATGGAATCATGTAGTAACCAAAAAAGTGTTAAACAAATCAAAATATATTTTATATTTAAGATTGTTCAAAGTACCCACCCTTTGCCTTGATGACAGCTTTGCACACTCTTGGCATTCTCTCAACCAGCTTCATGAGGTAGTCACCTGCAATGCATTTCAATTAACAGGTGTGCCTTGTTAAAAGTTAATTTGTGGAATTTCTTTCCTTCTTAATGTGTTTGAGCCAATCAGTTGTGTTGTGACAAGGTAGGGGTGGTATACAGAAGATAGCCCTATTTGGTAAAAGACCAAGTCCATATTATGGCAAGAACAGCTCAAATAAGCAAAGAGAAACAACAGTCCATCATTAATTTAAGACATGAAGGTCAGTCAATCCGGAAAGTTTCTTCAAGTGCAGTCGCAAAAACCATCAAGCGTTATGATGAAACTGGTTCTCGTGAGGACCGCCACAGGAAAGGAAGACCCAGTGTTACCTCTGCTGCAGAGGATAAGTTCATTAGAGTTACCAGCCTCAGAAATTGCAGCCCAAATAAATGCTTCACAGAGTTCAAGTAACAGACACATCTCAACATCAACTGTTCAGTGGAGACTGCGTGAACCAGGCCTTCATTACATTTACATTTACGTCATTTAGCAGACGCTCTTATCCAGAGCGACTTACATGAGCAATTAGGGTTAAGTGCCTTGCTCAAGGGCACATCGGCAGATTTTTCACCTAGTCGGCTCGGGGATTAGAACCAGCGACCTTTCGATTACTGGCACAACGCTCTTAGCCACTAAGCTAAGAAAGAAACCACTACTAAAGGACACCAATAATAAGAAGAGACTTGCTTGGGCCAAGAAACACGAGCAATGGACATTAGACCAGTGGTAATCTGTCCTTTGGTCTGATGAGTCCAAATTTGAGATTTTTGGTTCCAACCGCTGTGTCTTTGTGAGACGCAGAGTAGGTGAACGGATGATCTCCGCATGTGTAGTTCCCACCGTGAAGCATGGAGGAGGAGGTGAGATGGTGTGGGGATACTTTGCTGGTGACACTGTCTGCGATTTATTTAGAATTCAAGGCACACTTAACCAGCATGGCTACCACAGCATTCTGCAGTGATATGTCATCCCATCTGGTTTGCGCTTTGTGGGACTATCATTTGTTTTTCAACAGGACAATGACCCAACACACCTCCAAGAAGGAGAGTGATGGAGTGCTGCATCAGATTACCTGGCCCCCACAATCACCCATCCTTACCCCAATTGAGATGGTTTGGAATGAGCTGTACCGCAGAGTGAAGGAAAAGCAGCCAACAAGTGCTCAGCATATGTGGAACTCCTTCAAGACTGTTGAAAAAGCATTCCAGGTGAAGCTGGTTGAGAGATTGTCAAGAGTGTGCAAAGTTGTCATCAAGGCAAACAGTGGCTACTTTCAAAAATCTAAAATATATTTTGATTTGTTTAACACTTTTGTGTTTACTACATGATTCCATATGTGTTATTTCATAGTTTTGATGTCTTCACTATTATTCTACAATGTAGAAAATAGTAAAAATAAAGAAAAATCCTTGAATGAGTAGGTGTGTCCAAAATTTTGACTGGTACTGTAGGCAAACAGGATGTAGCGGGAGTTATCTTTCTGTGGGAGGCGAAGGTGTGCAGCATGACCACGATGCAGTAGAGAAAGATGCAGAAGAAAGGGATCACCACACACACCTTGATTGGTGGCATTACCTGGAAGGTTGGTCAGATTCTGCATTTTTCGGTGTGGTCTGCTTGAGGAATGGTTGATGTCTGCATATCTGAAATGTTGAAGAAAACAAAGACTTGATATGCACACAGAACAATTCATGACAATATACATGATCCCAAAGATTAATTAGATGTCATGAACTACAGTGAGGGAAAAAAGTATTTGATCCCCTGCTGATTTTGTACGTTTGCCCACTGACAAAGACATGATCAGTCTATAATTTTAATGGTAGGTTTATTTGAACAGTGAGAGACAGAATAACAACAACAAAATCCAGAAAAACGCATGTCAAAAATGTTATAAATTGATTTGCATTTTAATGAGGGAAATAAGTATTTGACCCCTCTGCAAAACATGACTTAGTACTTGGTGGCAAAACCCTTGTTGGCAATCACAGAGGTCAGACGTTTCTTGTAGTTGGCCACCAGGTTTTCACACATCTCAGGAGGGATTTTGTTCCACTCCTCTTTGCAGATCTTCTCCAAGTCATTAATGTTTCGAGGCTGACTTTTGGCAACTTGAACATTCAGCTCCCTCCACAGATTTTCTATGGTATTAAGGTCTGGAGACTGGCTAGGCCACTGCAGGACCTTAATGTGCTTCTTTTTGAGCCACTCCTTTGTTGCCTTGGCCGTGTGTTTTGGGTCATTGTCATGCTGGAATACCCATCCACGACCAATTTTCAATGCCCTGGCTGAGGGAAGGAGGTTCTCACCCAAGATTTGACGGTACTGTGCCCCGTCCATCGTCCCTTTGATGTGGTGAAGTTGTCCTGTCCCCTTAGCAGAAAAACACCCCCAAAGCATAATGTTTCCACCTCCATGTTTGACTGTGGGGATGGTGTTCTTGGGGTCATAGGCAGCATTCCTCCTCCTCCAAACACGGCGAGTTGAGTTGATGCCAAAGAGCTCAATTTTGGTCTCATCTGACCACAACACTTTCACCCAGTTCTCCTCTGAATCATTCAGATGTTCATTGGCAAACTTCAGACGGCCCTGTATATGTGCTTTCTTGAGCAGGGGGACCTTGCGGGCGCTGCAGGATTTCAGTCCTTCACGGCGTAGTGTGTTACCAATTGTTTTCTTGGTGACTATGGTCCCAGCTGCCTTGAGATCATTGACAAGATTCTCCCGTGTAGTTCTGGGCTGATTCCTCACCGTTCTCATGATCATTGCAACTCCACGAGGTGAGATCTTGCATGGAGCCCCAGGCCAAGGGAGATTGACAGTGCTTTTGTGTTTCTTCCATTTGCGAATAATCGCACCAACTGTTGTCACCTTCTCACCAAGCTGCTTGGCGATGGTCTTGTAGCCCATTCCAGCCTTGTGTAGGTCTACAATCTTGTCCCTGACATCCTTGGAGAGCTCTTTGGTCTTGGCCATGGTGGAGAGTTTGGAATCTGATTGATTGCTTGCTTCTGTGGACAGGTGTCTTTTATACAGGTAACAAGCTGAGATTAGGAGCACTCCCTTTAAGAGTGTGCTCCTAATCTCAGCTCGTTACCTGTATAAAAGACACCTGGGAGCCAGAAATCTTTCTGATTGAGAGGGGGTCAAATATTTATTTCCCAATGCAAATCAATTTATAACATTGTTGACATGCGATTTTCTGGATTTTTTTCTTGTTATTCTGTCTCTCATTGTTCCAATAAACCTACCATGAAAATTATAGACTGATCATTTCTTTGTCAGTGGGCAAACGTACAAAATCAACAGGGGATCAAATACTTTTTTCCCTCACTGTAACTTGTCCTCTGATGGAGAAGGTAAAGGTTTGGGTGGGATGGGAGGGATGGGAGGGATGGGTTGTGGATTTGTATACATATGACACAACCATGATGCAAAACATCTCCGGGAAGAGGCATTTCCTCTTTCCAAATGTTTTGGATAGTGTCTTGATTTCTCAAGGGATAAATTAATTTCATGCCATTCTCAAAATGCAGCATGTTCATAAGTATTGCTCAAGTTCCCCAACAGGGAAAAGGTCTAATAGGTGCTTAACCTTTACTTAGGGATTTCTTCAAAATAACTAACTAGAAGAACTACGTTCTTATTAGAACAACTAATTAGACGTAATAATAGTATAGTCTGACGCTTTGAGCTGTTATGTGGCCCATGCAAGAATCAAACCCACAACTCTGGTGTTGCAAGCACCTTGTTCCAACCAATTTATATATTAGAACCATCTTCACTCAGATTAACTGATAAAAAAAAAAAAAAAAAAGCTTTTGCAATAGTGCAAAATCATATAGCCCATTTTGTCACTTTAAAATGATGATCACACCTGATAAACTATTGGCTCTATTTAATTAACAGCAGTTCAAATTTTCCTGGAAAAGACAAGCACGTTATCCCTGTGCAGAGATAAAGCATGTCTGAATTCATATGCAGGCGAGTTTCTTTCGTTTGAATTTGGAAAATTGCTACATTTTGAAATAGCCCTATATTTTGAAATTGAGGCTCAACAGAAGGCCTGCTAATTATGAAATTTAACTTAAACCAATCAATGTTTCTTCAAATGTGTTTATTTTCCTCATTACTGTTATGTCAGTATTTGTAACACAGTATATTGGAGCGATCCTTGCTATATGAGGCACGTTACAATTCATACCAAGTGGGTTCACCCTATTGGTGCGATGCGTAGGGTGTTTGCCTTTCATGCCAGCAACCCGGGTTCTCTTCCCTGTCCCGCCGTGATGTCAGAAGTGGGATGGCTGCCGTGACGCCAACGGAATGCACAGATATGTGAGGGTGCTGAGTAGTTGAAGCACGGGGACGTGCCTTCCCGTTCGGAGGGGGCCGTGTAGTGATCCTCTCTATATGAGCCACGTTACAATTCACACCAAGTGGGTTAACCCCATTGGTGCGATGCGTAGGGTGTTTACCTTTCACGCCAGCGAAAGAGAGAACGATGAAACCGTAAAGTGAATATTGGCATGGGTTGTTTGTGAGGGGACTTTCATGGACTGCATTTGATGAACAGGGAGGCGTGTTCACTCTGTTGCTGGATGGATATCTCCAGAGTACAGTTAGAAAGAGACTGTGTCCCCTGTTCCCTGATTAGTAATTAACAGACTGGTTGATTATTAATGGAGAGCTTCTGAGTCAAGCCTAGTTGTGCAACCTTATGTTTTACTTTGGTTTGGCAAACAAGATGACTCTGTAGAGAGCAGTACACCAGGGCTTGGTCTGATCTTGACGTAAGTCTTGCGTCAGTAGTGAAGACTGCTGGGGCCAAGTCCAAACAGTGTGTTCTCCCTGGGGCTCTGGGCCCCAGACAAACCTGATGCTCATTGGACCCCTGTACTGTAAATGCCAGCTCAACATTCCCCCAAAATGAAAACTACATATATTGTTCCAGTCAAACTATCATGAAATAATGGCCAGTAACATCAACTTCTGAAACAACAGAGATAGGGGGGTTTGAAACATTATAGATTGTATTGAACTTTTACAGAGTTAATTTTTATAGAATCAAGGAACCATGACAAAAGTAGTACAGAAATTATTGAAGTTTAATAGAAATGCCTAACTGTCACTTAGCAAGGGGGAGTCAAATAGGGGTGTCGAAGATCATTTCTGTTACTGCAGAGATTAGGAAGTGAAATCAATCTGCAGGCCCAAATGTTTGACACCCCTGACATAACATAACCATAACAAAACTGTGTCATAAACAATTACCTGAAACTTACGATACCTTTTGATCCTCTCACTTACAGATGACAGAAAATTGCCATAATTCAGTATTACACATGGCCAGCATTTACCTTACAGGTGTTCATGGCAGATTTTTTTTTCATTTACTATTAGGCTTGTCCATATTAAATATAAACACTTTTTTAGACTATCCAAACAGGGCATAATATTTCATTCCCACGACAAAATCCTTATCCCCAGGGGTACGCGCAATGCCGTCGGGGGTACTCCAAATAAAAATGTGATTCACATTTTCAAACAGTCCATTAAGATTTTCAAATGGGGATATACATTTGGGTGATGTTTTTTCTCTCACCTGAGTAGCCTCGTTTCACTGCCAAAAATAAAATGTAACCATCTAGTGTTCAGTGAAATAACAACACAATGTCAAATACAGGTAGCCTAGTCAAATAATTAACATCCAATCACATTAACCGTTACTCTCTCGCGGGAATTCCACTAACGGTCCGTATGTAGCCAAACGTAGCTGCTGCTCATTCCGTTTGCTCGAAAATGGATAAATGGTTTAAAAAAAAGTAAGGCCCACGTCCAAAGAGACACATACCAGCTCTACTCTACTAGATTGCCACATAGCGCTCCAGGCTCATGGCTGTCAGTGTCAGCGGTGTGGCAACGGTCAGGTTTTCTATGATCACAACCAGAAATAAACATAGCCCACCTGGCATTGGTACCCTGGAGTAGCTCATCAGCAGCAATACATCAGTCAGAGCCAGAATACTGTCACAGACCAGCGTGTGAGCAAATAATATCTATCATGTGTTGGTGATGAAGGCCTCTTTTTTTAAAGAAGGTGACGATCATGAGGAAGTTGATGTAGAGGAAGATGCCAATCAACACTTGGACTATCACCACTTTTTCATTCAGAGGTCTTTGGTATTGCGCCGTCGGAAGCTCAAAACTGCCCTCACTTCCCTCACTGCCCTGGCTTGTATTCGGCATCGTATTTCCTGTTTAGAAAGAGGATAAAAATGTAAAGCAATGCCAATCACAAAGTTGTCAACACAAACATTGAATAAAACCATATAGTAATTTGTCAGTACCAACATCGACCATCATAAGACACAAATCCTTTTTACTAGGCCATAAAGAATTTCAGCAGAATCTGAAATAAACATGAGAAGGTGGTCTTACTGTAATTCTTTAATAACAATTACCCAACAATAACTATTGTATAATCACTATAACCGATTACCGTCAATATATCTCTAAAAGGTTCATTGATGTCGAACACGACTCTTGCCCAGTCTCCTCCTCCTCTTGGCCCTAGCTAGGACAACAGCACTGAGTGCCAAACCTTTGTTGTGACGTGACTTTCATTATTGTGATGACTATTATTTATCGAATAATTACCTACTATGTTTAATTGTTACTAGATTAAATTAATAACGTAACAATTAACTCATTAGTAATTTGGGGCACCACGGGAAAAGTTGTTTAACGAGTTACCGTTTCCCGAATTAACTCTAAAGATATCTAGATATCTCTTGTCATTTAACAGTCATTTATTAATAATTTACCTCGTATCAGTCTCATTCTGAAAGTCGTAGACTCTTTAAGTCTGCACGAACCCGGGACTTACTTATCATTCCGTACCACACAAATTGATTTAATTATTTATTTACTAACTAATAAAAAATGATAACACAAGATACAACCACATACACGGTATAGGTAGGGATTAGAAATTTAATACAACGAAAAAGGGTCCCTAGCGGACTAACACAATATGACACTTGTTACAAAAGATGGCGAGTTAAAGAGAGAGAGAGAAAACACTTGGATACACATGGACCTTAGCTCACAGTAATCCTAATATCTTGCCCCGAACTGCCACCCGTTTGGTAAGAAGTAATGCATGTATTTACGTGTTGGAGGTCTTCGTCGTGTATCTCTGTTGGACCCAGGCCTTCGTGGGAAGGGGTCGATTGGGCTTTCTCTTTCAGATGGCCTTTTAGATGTAAGGCTCAGATGTTTTTATAAAAAAAAAAAAACATTTTTAGTCATTTAGCAGACGCTCTTATCCAGAGCGACTTACAGTTAGTGAGTGCATACATTTTCATACTGGTCCCCCGTGGGACCAGATTGTCCACAAGAGGTCACAATGTCCTTCTTCTTAGTTGTCTGTTTACTTTCACTCGTTCTGGAAGTGGTCTTCTGAGGACAGCTAGTCAGCCGTGTCGATGATCCCCTGTGGGGTGATGAGAGCAGTGTAGTAGACGATGGTTTGAGGAGAGTAACAGGATGGTCCCACTTAAATTCACCTTCTTAGATACAGTACTTAGAACAGCTACTCAGCCGTAATATTGATTGTTAGTGGAGGCAACTTTGTCATCTTCACCTCGTGTTGATTTTCAGGGTCGGGACCAATATGGACCTCGCTGCAGCTTGAGGTCCGTCTAGTCTGATCTGATAATTCTTAACTCAATATTTTATGCACTCTGGTAAAGAGGGGCGTTTCCGTCATACTGACAGGCTCTCTGAGCTTCCTCATGCGTGACTAGTTACAAGGCAAAAGTATTATCGTCACTTTGATCTTGTTAGAAAGCTAAAATCACATTCCTATCTTCACGAAAACATTGTCTTCCTCCTTGATATTTTCTACACAAGGTAAAGGATGTAACCCTGATATCCACAGTGTAAAAGCTCTTCAAGTCACAATATTTTCCTTATAACGCCTTTATACCATTTTTAATGACATCACAAAATATACATTAATTTTCCATTTCTCATCATTCCCAACATTTGGATGTTGAAATATATTGTCCCAATGTTCATTGTTGGATGTTGAAGTTTTTGGGCAGCAAAAATTCTCTGAAACAAATGCATTCCTTTCACCATACTAGAGGGCCAGAGATATATTATCCTCCTCTCTAATTTATGGCAGTGTTAAGGTGTCAAGACCGGCACAGTATTGCTTGAATGACGCATGATTGCTGTGTGAACCAACAGGATTTAGAATCGGTTGATCTCCCTGTTAATCTGTAGCAAATGCATTTCCTGACTGTTGATTTTACTGTTCTCCATCAGCTGAGGGCCCGGTGCCATGACAAAGTAGATGTAGTGTGTACTACTACGCAGGTGTAGGCTTGAATTACTAATGACCTAGGTGCATCTACTGGCAGATAGCAACCATGATCAACATAAGTTCCAGTATTGACATACACATGTGTGCAACCCTTACAAAAAAAGTAATGTAAAACTTGCAGTTTAACATGTGATAATCGTATTTTCACATGTGAAATAGCTGTTTTCACATGTATTACATTTAGAGTTCACATGTTAACACCACCTTTTCACGTGAGTAGAATAACATGTTTTAACCTCATGTCACGTTGTATAATGATTAGAAGACTGGCGCAGGAATACGTATTGGGGTTTTAATTACTCCACCCAACACAAGGTACGTCATGGAAAACGACGGGGACGAAGCCCAAAACAAACACGTGTATATATATAACAAAGGGATGTAACCCAAACAAAAGAGCGAGGTGTAACCTCTACACAATACACAGGACGAGACCCGTAATAACAAGAGCACAATACACAGTACTCACGAGACCAACGGACATGGGACAATAATCGACAAGGACAATGGGGAACAGAGGGCACATATATACACATACTAATCAGGGGGAATGGGAACCAGGTATGCGTAATGAGACAAGACAGTCCGGGGTTGGTGGTAATGATGATGCCTAGAAGGCCGGTGACGTAGACCTCCAGAGCTGGTGAACGTAATGAGCAGCAGTACTGGGGGGATCAGTGACACCTCACGTGAATTGCAGTGAAAATCAGATATACAGGTTCACCTGTGAAAAACATTCACGTGTGGAATTGCATTTTCACGTGATGAACATTCATGCTAAAATCTAATTTTCCATTTCATATGTGAAAAACATCATTGTTTTTTCACGTGAACATTTTTCACATATGAAACCTCAAATTCGATTTTTACGTCATTGTTTTTCACATGTGAACTTAGTAAATATCCAATTTGCAGTTTCACATGTAAGAAAACTCCAACTGTGAAAATCTCACTTTCACATGTGGGGATGAAATAATGTTTTATTATGATGGTCTGTATGGAGCTGACACTGTGGATGATCAGGAAGTGAATGGATCTGCGTACAGTCGAGAGCTCTCCGTGGCACAGGGGCATGCAGATGGCCACATAACGCTCCAGGCTCATGGCTGTCAGTGTCAGTGGTGTGGCAAAGGTCAACACACTCATAAACACACAGATGATAATACACACTGCAACTGGCATGGGGTGTCACACCCTGATCTGTTTCACCTGTCTTTGTGATTGTCTCCGCCCACCTCCAGGTGTCACCCATCTTCCCCATTATCCCCAGTGTATTTATATCTGTGTTTTCTGTTTGTCAGTTTGTTTTGTTTCGTCAAGCCTACCAGCGTTTTCCCCCTTGCTCCTGTCTTTCTCAAGTTCCTGTTTTCTAGTTTTCCCGCTTTTGACCATTCTGCCTGCCCTGACCCTGAGCCTGCCTGCCATTCTGTACCTTGTCACACCACCCTGGATGATTGACCTCTGCCTGCCCTTGACCTGTCATTTGCCTGACCCCTGTTTTTGTAATAAACGTTTGTTACTTCTACACTGTCTGCATCTGGGTCTTGTCCTGAAACGTGATAGTACAAACTGGCCATGACTGACCCAGCAGACTCAGACCAGCTCCGTAATGCCATATCCTCCCAAGGAGCCACCATTGGAAGGCACGAGGAGTTGCTTTGTGGTCTCATGGAAGGGTTCCAGACCTGTTCGAATGCCATGACCGAGTGTTTAACACATTGCTGGCGCAATTCCGTTGTCTGTTAGGCAGCCTACCACGACGGTAACCTCCCAGCCCCTCAGTAACCCGGCGGTTAGCAGCGCGGCCTCCCCGGCCACCACGGATTCCTGAGAACCCTGCATACCTTCCCCGGAACGCTTCGCTGGAGAGTCGGGAACCTGTCGGGCATTTCTCGCTCAGTGTTCGCTCATCATCGAGCTGCAGCCATCCTCCTTCCCCTCACACCGCTCTAAGATAGCGTACCTCATCACGCTGATGTCCGGGAGGGCTCTCGCCTGGGCTACGGCAGAGTGGGAACAACAGTCGGCCGTATGCTTCAATCTGGAGGAGTTCATGCAGGAGGTAAAGAAGGTTTTCGATGCTCCATTGTCCGGGAGAGAGGCTGCCCGGAAGTTACTCCAGCTTCGGCAAGAATCCCGCAGTGTGGCAGACTATGCAGTGGATTTCCGCACATTGGCAGCTGAGTGTGCCTGGAACCCAGAAGCACTGTTCGACACGTTCCTGCACGGAGTGTCAGAAGAAGTAAAGGACGAGCTTGCAGCCCGGGAACTACCGACGGATATTGACTCGCTCATCACCTTGACCATTCGGATTGATGGGCGACTTCCGGAACGAAGGAAGGAGAGGAAGTCCGATTCCACTCGCCCGCCCAAGGATTCCACCTCGCCTCCGAGACATCCTGGAAGTCCCCAACAGCTCCGTTGCCGAGAGAACCCGAGGCTACCCGAGTTCCCCTGAGAGTCTCCGAAGTCTGCCGATTCACCTCTTCCCGAGCCGATGCAACTAGGCAGAGCTAGGCTGTCTCCAGCCAAACGGCAATACAGGCTTAACACGAAGAGTTGCCTGTATTGCGGGACTACTGGTCATTTTGTGTTCACCTGTCCACTAAAAGACCAGACTCACCGTTAGGAGCGAGTACTCTGGTGAGCCATACGGATAACTTTTCCTCTCCCCTTACTTGCACCCCCTTTCATACCATCTTGCTGTGGGGGAACCAGTCGCAATCTCTCTGGGTACTCATCGACTCTGGGTCCGATTAGAGCTTTATGGACGCTACCCTGGCGTCCGAGCTGGGCATCCCCACTCAGCCCCTCTCCATTCCCATGGATGTTACAACGCTGGACAGGGGCTCTATAGGCCAGGTCACCCACAATACCACCCCCATCAACCTACGAGTATCAGGGAACCACAGCGAGACGACCCAATTCCTGCTAATTAAGTCTCCTCAGGTTCCCGTGGTATTGGGTTTCTCTTTGCTCCAGCGACACAACCCCTTTATTGACTGGTCTACTGGTGCCATCATGGGCTGGAGCCCGTTCTGCCACGCTCATTGCCTGAAGTCTGCACAGCCTGCCACAGGATGTTTTCCTGGGGGCTCTGAAGTTGCTTCGGACCTCTCTGCCATTCCCACGGAGTACCAGGACCTCCGGGAGGTGTTCAGTAAGGCCTGGGCCACTTTGCTTCCGCAGCACCGTCCCTACGACTGCGGAATCAACCTTCTCCCAGGCACCACTCCGCCCCGGGGACGACTGTACTCGCTGTCGGGTCCGGAGACCAAGGCTATGGAGACCTACATTGAGGACTCCCTAGCTGCCGGGTTCATCTGTCCTTCTGCCTCCCTCGCCGGCGCAGGGTTCTTCTTTGTGGAGAAGAAGGACAAAACCCTGCACCCGTGCATCGACTACCGGGCCTCAACGACATCACGGTGAAGAACCGCTACCCGCTACCATTCATCTCCATGTTCTCCAAACTGGATCTGTGTAACGCCTACCACCTGGTGCGGATACGGGAGGGGGACCAGTGGAAGACTGCCTTCAACACGGCCATGGGTCACTACAAGTATCTGGTCATGCCATTTGGCCTTACCAATGCTCCAGCTGTGTTCCAGGTCCTGGTTAATGATGTTCTCCGTGACATGTTGAACCGGTTTGTCTTCGTCTACCTCGATGACATCCTTGTTTTCTCCCGCTCCGCCCAAGAACACATGCTCTACAACTGACAGGTCCTCCAACGCCTCCTGGAGTTCCAGCTTTTTGTGAAAGCGGAGAAATGCGAATTCCATCGCTCCATCACCCCCTTCCTGGGCTACATCATTGCTTCAGGGAGTGAACAGATGGATCCCGGGAAGGTGAGAGCGGTGGTGGATTGGCCCCAGCCTACATCCAAAGTGCAGCTGCAACGTTTCCTGAGATTCGCCAACTTTTATCGCTGCTTTATCCGGGGTTATATCACCCTGGCTTACCCCTGTCTGCACTCACCTCTCCCAATGTTCCGTTCACATGGTCCCCAGCTGCTGACCGGGCGTTCTGGGACCTCAAACACAGTTTCACCACTGCTCCCATCTTGGTTCATCCTGACCCGTCCCGCCAGTTCGTGGTGGAGGCCGATGCTTCGGATGACGGAGTGGGGGCGGTCCTGTCCCAGCGTTCGGCCCTGGACCTCAAGTTACATCCCTGCGCCTTCTTCTCCCATCGCCTCAACACCACGGAGAGGAATTATGATGTGGGGAATTGTGAGCTTCTCGTGGTGAAGATGGCGTTGGAGGAGTGGAGGGACATGGTTGTAGGGGGCGGAACATCCGTTCATTGTGTGGACATACCACAAGAACTTGGAATAATTCCACACCGCCAAGCGTCTCAATTCCAGGCAAGCTAGGTGGGCCCTGCTTTTCACCCGGTTCAACTTCTCCCTCTCATACCAACCGGGATCCAAGAATGTCAAGCCAGATGCGCTGTCACGCCGCTATAGCCCCGTGGCTACACCCCCGGAATCCGAAACCATCCTTCCCACCTCGTGCTTAGCGACGGCACGCAGTTGGGGAATAGGGAAGCAGGTCCGGGAGGTGCAGCGTTCCCAGCCGGACCCCGGGGGGGCCCAGATAACCGGATGTTTGTTCCTGATGCTGTCTGCTCCGCGGTCCTGGAGTGGGCTCACTCCTCCATGCTTGTCTGCCACCCGGGCTCCCGTTGGACCATGGCCTTTGTGCGACAACGCTTTTGGTGGCCTACCATGGTTCCTGACGTTTCTGCGTTCGTCACCGCCTGCACGATCTGTGCGCAGAACAAGACTACTCGGCAAGCTCCGGCTGGTCTCCTCCAACCTCTGCCTGTTCCTCACCGTCCCTGGTCTCACTTATCCCTGGACTTTGTCATGGTCTTCCCCGTCTGATGGCAACACTGCCATCCTGACAGTTGTGGACCGGTTTTTAAAAGCCGCCCACTTCATTCCTCTCCTCAAGCTACCCTCCGCCAAAGAGATGGCCCAGCTCATGGTGCAGCACGTCTTCCAGATCCATGGACTCTCAGTGGACAATGTCTCCGACCGGGGTCCTCAGTTCTCGTCCCCGTTCTGGAAGGCGTTCTGCACACTCATTGGGGCGTCGGCCAGCCTGTCCTCCAGTTTCCACCCTCAGTCCAATGGCCAGTCGGAATGAGCCAACCAAGACCTGGAGACGACTCTGCGCTGCCTGGTCTCCGCCAACCCCACCACCTGGAGCCAGCTACTAGTGTGGGTCGAATACGCCCGCAACACCCTTACCTGCTCTGCCACGGGTCTTTCGCCCTTTGAGTGTTCCCTGGGTTATCAGCCCCCGCTCCTCCCGGAGCAAGAGGATTTGGGGACTGCAAAGAAACTGAGGAGCAAGTTATTAGTCATGATTAGGTACAGGCAGTCAACCAGCAGTGTGTGAGCAAAGAAAACGTAATGTGTGTTTGAGCGAAATGTGTCCTTTTTGAAGAAGGTGAAGATGAGCAGGCAGATAATGTAAATTAAGATTGCATTCAGGACCTGGACTATTACAACCCTCTCATTAACCTGTCGCAGAGAGGACCTGCTGCCACCTGTAGCTGTAACGTTGTCAGATATATCTGTAATAACCAATTAAAATGTGTTCTACAGTATGCAGTATTTCATAGAAACAATATAAAGGTTTACGTTTAAGTGTGAAATATTGACATCTTTAAATACATTTAAAATCTTAGATAAAATCTCAAACCTATTTTCCAGGTAAATAAATTACATTTTGTCCTAATCTGATGTGTTGTGTCTTGTTGGTTGTAGGATATAAGTTTATATATGGCAGATTGCTTTCATACCATAGCAGCCTGCGAAGTGGTAATTCTCTGATAATCTTCACTTCAGCCCTCAAGCTAAGATCTACTGACAGAGTGCTCTGCGTGAAGTACTTATAGAGAATTTAATTTATGGAGGGTTTCTCAAAGGAATGTTGTCATGAATCTTCAGATACACCACATTCCTATATTTAGACCAACCATATAACTACGTAATGCACAAACACTAATCTCCTAGGATTATATCACTTTTTTCATGAAGTTTACAGGAGATACATGTGACTATGTGGCATTCACTAGGCGTAAAGCACAGATTAAAGTTAACATTATGTATTGTGTGTAAATATTTTGGTAATCTGACCAAGAACTATGGATATCTGTCTACCTGTGAGCAGTGTTTGGTGTAGCAGTAGTGGATACACAGATGCATGCACCTCGTCCCTTTCATGAAGTACTGTAGGCTAAATGTGATTTATATTTCAACTATAGCTAATGTTCTCTTAATAATGGTCAATCTCAATATGCTTAAAAAGTGCACTTTTAAAATACAACGACTCAAAACACCATAATTGTGTACTGAAACCATGAAGGGTAGTGCGCCAAAGCTGAGATCTGGTGTTATGAGGGTGTTTGAATGTAAACCCGATGTAAGTGTTTTGATACACAGGATGTGTTTTAAAACAGAATGGAAGTACTCTGACATACCCAAAGTCAGCCTGCATGTAAAAGGCAGCGTCTCTCTCATACATTCATTTCCAGTGACTAATTTTTTAAAATGTATTGACGGGCCGCACCCAGGTGGTGAAGGTAGGAAACAACATCTCCACTTCGCTGATCCTCAACACTGGTGCCCCACAAGGGTGCATGCTCATAACCCCTCCTGTACTCCCTGTTCACCCATGACTGAGTAGGCTTGATTACCAACAATGACGAGACCGCCTACAGTGAGGAGGTGAGGGCTGTAGGAGTGTGGTGCCAGGAAAATAACCTCTCACTCAACATCAACAAAACAAAAGAGATGATCGTGGACTTCAGGAAACAGCAGAGGGTGCACCCCCCTATCCACATCTACGGGACAGCAGTGGAGAAGGTGGAAAGCTTCAAATTCCTTGGCGTACACATCACCGACAAACTGAAATGGTCCACCCACGCAGACAGTGTGGTGAAGAAGGCGCAACAGAGCCTCTTCAACCTCAGGAGGCTGAAGAAATTTGGTTTGGCACCTAAAACCCTCACAAACTTTTACAGATGCACAATTGAGAGCATCCTGTCGGGCTGTATCACCACCTGGTACGGCAACTGCACCGCCCCGCAACCGCAGGGCTCTCCAGAGGGTGGTGCGGTCTGCCGAACGCATTATCAGGGGCAAACTACCCGCCCTCCAAGAAATATTATACATGATGTTACAATTAAAATCTTTAAGATTATGTAAGTCATAGCAGAGGTAACATGTATAAAGCTGGCATTTGTGTGACAATGTGGATTTGAACCTGGGTCTCTTCCTTGTCAGAACACTGCCTTACTCCACTCAGCCAGTCTTCAGTCTTAACTGTTGTGCTAAACCACCCTTGTAGGCTGAGCACATGGGGCCCGATTCAAACTCGAGGCGCATAGACTTAAGTCAATAAAACATTGACATTTATTTTAATGAAGTCCATGTTAAGTCAATTTATCTCAAGTCTGAATAGGAATTCCACCTTTTCCTGTGTTTTTCAATGCTTTGTTTAGACAGATTAGAAACATGAGGATACATAGAAGGAGTGAAAGTGGGACAGGAATTAAACCCCTGAATTGTAGGGCAGTAAGATGACACATTTATTTGGAATGTGACCTACTCAACCACATCTCCAGATGACATGTGAGGAGCTTGTGAATGAAGGTGGAGGGAGGGAATTCATGTTAGGAGTGCCCTCTAGATTAATCCATGTTCAAATGTAAAAACCAACCTGGTCACAGAGCAAAACATATTCTATTTCATTAAAATCCATATCACTCTATTTAGTATGATATGTTACTTTACGTATCGTACTAAATGTAATAGCGGTTGTACATATAATACGAATTGTAGGACGTATAGTATCCTACGTCTTGATCACATTTAATCCGTTTAGTATGATATATTACGTTCCACTGCTTTAGTATGATATGCTATGTTAGGTTAGGGGTTAAGCTAACATGCTAAGTAGTTGCAAAGTAGCAAGTGGTTGCAAAGTTGCTAATTAGCTAAAGTTGTCCTCCTTGAGATTCGAACACGCCCTATTGTTTGAATATGTGTGGTTATTAGGCCTACTGGTGGTCGATACTGATAGTGGCAAATCTTTAACATGATAGAAATAGGAAAGAGAGAAAGTCGGGTAGCCTATATTTAAGACATTCGAGAGAGCCTATCCCTGCAATTTAAAAGGCTGTACAATTTAAATTCTGCATAATGGCACAGCATTCCATAAGCTTTACTGTGGGAAAGTTGATATGCTGATATGCTTCAGTTTGCTGCCATATGACTTGTTTCACATTTGTCTCCAGCGATTATAAGGTAAAATAGATCTATAACAAGTGTCATTTATATTTACAATTCCCTTATCCAAACAGATTACTCATATCAAGCTCTTATCAATAGCTCTTATCAAGTTGTAAATTACAGTGCATGGAGAATTGTGTTATTTCTATCAGAAAAAATTTAAGTAGATGATTTTTCCACTTTATTCATGGTGGAATTATGAGGGAATTAAGTCAAGGTCAGAATACGGCATATCAGACACACCTGACAAGACCTTCATTTATTCAATCTCCACCTCAAATGAATAGCGGGTGAATAGCATGCTATTCTCATGCTTAAGTTCAAGGTCAGAATACGCATAGAGAGAAAAGTGCATAAAAACAGAATTACGTTCCATTTAAGTGCTCTTAACTCGGGTCGAAATCGGGCCCAAAGTGATTTCATTCATCTGTGACCAAGAGAAAGTGGTCTTCTTAAAAAAATTATATGAAATTGAGAGCTGTAAATCTGGCTGAGAATATCAAAGAAAGATGAAACCACAACTGTTGGTTTCGCTATACAGTGGTCTTTGATATGCCATCTCCCAGGCTGGGCTCCATCACTAAGAGGGAGAGCAAATCGATTCTTTGTCTGGATAGGACAGAAAATGTGACACATCACTCCCTATTTTTTTAATTTTTTAATTTCACCTTTATTTAACCAGGTAAGCCAGTTGAGAACAGGTTCTCATTTACAACTGCGACCTGGCCAAGATAAAGCAAAGCAGTGCAATAAAAACAACACAGAGTTACATATGGGGTAAAAAACATAAAGTCAAAAATACAACAGAAAATATATATACAGTGTGTGCAAATGTAGCAAGTTATGGAGGTAAGGCAATAAATAGGCTATAGTGCAAAATAATTACAATAGTATTAACACTGGAATGCTAGATGTGCAAGAGATTATGTGCAAATAGAGATACTGGGGTGCAAAAGAGCAAAATAAATAACAATATAGGGATGAGGTAGTTGGGTGGGCTAATTTCAGATGGGCTGTGTACAGGTGCAGTGATCGGTAAGGTGCTCTGACAACTGATGCTTAAAGTTATTGAGGGAGATAAGAGTCTCCAGCTTCAGAGATTTTTGCAATTCGTTCCAGTCATTGGCAGCAGAGAACTGGAAGGAATGGCGGCCAAAGGAGGTGTTGGCTTTGGGAATGACCAGTGAGATATACCTGCTGGAGTGCAGACTACGGGTGGGTGCTGCTATGGTGACCAATGAGCTAAGATAAGGCGGGGATTTGCCTAGCAGTGATTTATAGATGGCCTGGAGCCAGTGGGTTTGACGACGAACATGTAGTGAGGACCAGCCAACAAGAGCGTACAGGTCACAGTGGTGGGTAGTGTATGGGGCTTTGGAGACAAAACGGATGGCACTGTGATAGACTACATCCAATTTGCTGAGTAGAGTGTTGGAGGCTATTTTGTAAATGACATCGCCGAAGTCAAGGATCGGTAGGATAGTCAGTTTTACGAGGGCATGTTTGGCAGCATGAGTGAAGGAGGCTTTGTTGCGAAATAGGAAGCCGATTCTAGATTTAACTTTGGATTGGAGATTCTTTATGTGAGTCTGGAAGTTGAGTTTACAGTCTAACCAGACACCTAGGTATTTGTAGTTGTCCACATACTCTAGGTCAGACCCGTCGAGAGTGGTGATTCTAGTCGGGTGGGCGGGTGCCAGCAGCGTTCGATTGAAAAGCATGCATTTAGTTTTACTAGTGTTTAAGAGCAGTTGGAGGCTACTGAAGGATTGTTGTATGGCATTGAAGCTCGTTTGGAGGTTTGTTAACACAGTGTCCAATGAAGGGCCAGATGTATACAAAATGGTGTCGTCTGCGTAGAGGTGGATCTGAGAGTCACCAGCAGCAAGAGCGACATCATTGATATACACAGAGAAAAGTGTCGGCCCAAGAATTGAACCCTGTGGCACCCCCATAGAGACTGCCATAGGTCCAGACAACAGGCCCTCCGATTTGACACACTGAACTCTATCTGAGAAGTAGTTGGTGAACCAGGCGAGGCAGTCATTTGAGAAACCAAGGCTATGCAATTGGGGGGTATGAAACCTGACACTTTAAGTCAGCTCCACTGACAGAGTGGTAGCGGATAGCTGGCAAATGGGGCTTTCAGGCACTATAAGGCATTGGACCCTATGACTTTCACAGAGCACTTAGTACACCAGAATTTCAGTCGGAACCGGTCCAGAACCGCTCAAAGTCACCCATAAAGGGGACCTAACATCTAAAAATTAAAATAC